CCGTCGCCGCCAGTGCAACTGGACCGACACCCGGCATGCGCTGGGGAGCAGTTGGAGGCTGCGCGCGCCCATCCAGCGAGGCGCAGGGCCCTCCTGGAGTGGTACCGCTGGCAGGTCGTGCGCCCAGCGCTGTTGGAGTATGACCGGCAAGCATTCAGGAAGGCAGCGTCATGTGTTCTCCCGGCGTTGCGCCGTTCCTTCGCTGAACTTTGCCCGGGCCCGTCCCTCCCTGACTGGAATCTTCTGGGCTGGGAGTCGTCTCCAAACTTTTGGAAGCATTACCGGTTGTGGGCCGTCATACGCATGACGGGCTGCTGGCCCCTTGCCGTGCTTGGCCAGGGTGGGCTGCCAGCCACGCTCTCGCGGTGCGGGGCATGCGGAGCGTCGAATGTAGCAGTCGACCATCCCCTGGTAGCGTGTCAGGCCACGGTTCAGTACCGTGCCCTCCTTGCGCGCGACGGCCCGCCCATGCAGGGCGCCGCCCCGGAGTTCGCCTTACAAGTCCTTTTTTCCGAGGGTCTCCCGTCGCGTGCGCGTGCTGCGCACGTCAGTTACGTGGGCGCTGCAGTTTTGCAGGCTGCTTGGCCAGCGCCGCCCCCTCCGCCTCCGCCCCCCCCTCCGCCTCCCCCCCCGCGCGCCCCCCCGAGCTAGAGTGGTTTCGTTCCCGCAATCAAGCCAGGGTGGGCTGAGGCACAACCTGCTATGCCGTATCCCTAGACAGGCGCTTGTTGGCCCTGCCCGGTTGTCCGTCCGCCGCGTGGGCTGCGAGGGGAGGGGGAACACGGGCGCGTGCCTCATGTGATCGAGCCCCCCCGCTCCGGCCGCCCCAGGAAGGTCCCGCGCTGTCCGTCCGGCGCGGGCGGGGAGGGCGGCAGGCAGAGAGGTTGTCGATGTGTGGGCAAGATGGGGTGTGAAAGACCACTACCTGACGGCGTACATATCCTCCCTCGGAGCGGCTGGTACCAGCAGCTGTGAGGGGCGGCGCGCCCGGGGCCGGGCGGCGGGCGCCCCGCGGGCGCCCGGCGCGGGACCCGGAGTGTGCTGTATGAGCGCGAAACGAAACGAACCACGGCGCGGCCCCTCGACAATCGGTCTGCCCAGGGCCAGCGCTACGTTGTGCCACTCTACCTGGGAGGTCAAGTTGGCGGCAAACGGGGCCGTCAGTTTAAGCCTGTGGTCTGTATGGTCGCCCACTGTTTGCCGAAGACGCATGAGCCAGCTGGACACGGCCGCCTCGTGCTCAGCACGCGTACAGAACCTAGCTGAACTCGCAGGGGACGGCGGGTCAGGGGGCAAGCCAAGAGACGGCGCGGGGGCAGTGGCGCGAGCCGAAGTCGCGAGCCGAATTATCACTCACCTGGGCAGCGAGAGCCGCGCCCATGGCCGCGCTGGGGCCCGGCGGCTTGCCAGCCGCCAGGGGGCGGGCGAACGCCGCTGCACTGCCGCTTAGGCAGGCTGGGAGTATCGGGCAGCCGGCGGGGGCGGCGTGGTTCGGGGCACGCAGAGGCCTCAGGAACCGTATTCTTCGGGCCGCAGGGGGCAGCCCGCATTGCCGCGGCTGGGGGCACGGGCGACATGGCCCTCGCGGGGCCGACCAGATGGCTAGCTGCCTGGGCCGGCAGGGATGCCAGCGGCCCGCCATTGGACGCATGACCAGCCCGCGCCAGGAGGTTGACGGGGGGCTCCAAGCATACAGAGAGGGGCGCGGCGTGGGTTACCGCCGGCCCGGGACCCGACACCGGGCAGGCGCACGCCGGGTTGACAGGGGCGGCCCCTGGGGGCGAGAAGGCTTCAAGCCTAGCCTTACAGGGCGAAGCTGCGAGCCGCGTGCTGCGCAAGCTCCAGTGGTCACGTGGGCGAGAGGGACCCTATGGTACTGTTGATCCAGAACATGACCCCAGTGGGTGTGGATGCCAATGTGTCCCACTGTGACCACTTCCTTTTGAGAGCCTCGATCTCCAGCCCGATCTGCCTGACCTCCTGTTGGCAGGGTGCGCGGGCCGCACTGGCTGGCGGGCCGGGACCTTGGGGAGCTGCCTGGAGAACACCGCTCACCGCGCTGGTGACCGGGGCCGGCACCGCGGGGACCGGGTGCATGCGTGTCTCCGGGACTGGCGCAAGGGGTACTGGAGCTGGCGCGGAGGCCCCCACCGTTGGCACTGCGACTGGGGTAGTCTCTGGGAGGGCTCAGGCAAAAGGCGGCGGCGGGGGCGGCGGCGGCGGCGGCGGCGGTGGCGTCGCCGCAGCCGGGTGCTCCCACTGACTCTCGTTCGTCGCCGGGGAGAAAAGAAGAGGAAGAAGAAGAAGAAGAAGAAGACGAAGAAGAAGAGGAAGAAGAAGAAGAAGAAGAATAAGAAGAATAAGAATAAGAGAAGAAGAATAAGAAGAAGAAGAAGAAGAAGAATAATACGAAGAATAAGAAGAAACATAAGAATAAGAAGAATAATAATAATAAGAAGAAGAAGAAGAACAATAATAATAATAATAATAAGAAGAAGAACCATACGAAGAAGAAGAAGAAGAATAAGAAGAATAAGAAGAAGAAGAAGGATAATAACAAGAAGAAGAAACATACTACTAATAATAATTATACTAATAATAATAATACTAATGATAATAATATTAATTAAAATAATACGAATAATATTAATAATAATAATAATAATACTAACAATCACAACAACAACAACAATAATAATAACAATAATAATAATAATAAGAATAATAATAATAATGATACGAAGAAGAAGAAGAAGAATATGAAGAAGAAGAAGAATAAGAAGAACAATAAGTATAAGAAGAAGAAGAGAAGAAGAAGAAGAAGAAGGAGAAACAGAAGAATAATAAGAAGAAGCATAAGAATAATAAGCATAATAATAATAATAGGAAGAAGAAGAAGAATAAGAATAAGAAGAGGAAGAAGGAGAAGAATACGAATAATAATAATAATAAGAACCAAATAAGAGTAAGAAGAAGACTAATGATGATTAGAATAATAAGAAAAAGAATAGGAAGAAGAAGAAAAAGAGAAATAATACTAATAAGAAGAAGAATAATAATAATACGAGGAGGGGTACTAATAATAATAATACTAATAATAATACTAATACTACTGATTATGCTAATACGCATACTAATATTAGTAATGACAGGAGCAATAAAACTATTAATACTAATCATATTATTGTTATTAATAATAAGAAGAATAATATTTTTAATAGTAAGAATCATAACACTAATAATACTACTCGTACTAAGAATAATAATAATAATTCTGATGAGAATAACAATAATAAGAACAATAACAATAATAACAACAATAACAATAGCAATAATAATAATAGTAATAATAATAGTAATAACAATCATAATACTAATACTAATCACACTAATAACAATACAAAAACAAGAGTAACAATCTCAATACTAATAATACTACCAACAATAAAAATAATAATATTAATATGAATACTAATCATCATAACAATAATTGTAATAATAATCATAATAGTAATACTATTGATAATAATATTATTCATACAAATAAAAGTAGCCATGATAATATTAATATTAATAGTAATATTAATAACAATAATCGTAATACTAATAATAATAGTAATAGTATTAATGTTAATAATGATAATAATAATAACAATAATAACGATGATGAGAATAATAATAATTATACGAATAATAGCAATACAACTAATACAAATAATAATAATACACATAATAATGGTAGTACTATTTATAATAATAAGAAGAATCATCATAACAATAATAATGATCATAAGTATAATCAATTCAAAGATAAAGAGTAGCAAGAATAACAGGAATATTAATGCGAAGAAGAATAACAAGAAGGAGGATCAACATACTAATGACAATAGTATTAATAATAATAGTAATTACAATAATAAGTGTAACAATAATAGTAATAGTTATAGTAATAGTAGTAGTAGTAGTAATAATAATAGTAATAACAATAATAGTAATAGTACTAATAATACTAATGCTAATACTAATACTAATAGTAATAATAATAATGATATTAATAAGAGTAGTATTACGAATAATATTAATAATAATAATGCTGATAATATTCATAATACTGATACTCATAACAACAATATTGATAACAACAATAATAAGAATAGCAACAATAATAATAAAATAATAATAATCATACTAAGCATAATGAAATTAATAAGAATAATATTACTAATAATAGTACTACCAATAATAGTACTACCAATAATAGTAATAGTAATAATACTGCTACTACTACTACTACTACTACTAATAATGATAATAATGATACTATTCATAACAAGAGTAATATTAGTAATAATAATAATAGTAGTAATAATAATAATACGAGTGGAAGTAATAGTAATGATAGTAATAATAATAATACAAATAATACACTTTTTCATTTCATTTCATACCGCAGCGACGGGGGCCAGAGCACCGCGCGACCGCGCGCGCCGCCCCAGCGCGCCCTCCCGCGCGCGGCCCGCTCAGGTCGCAGCCGCCCCTGCGCTCCCGGGGCAGGGCCGCGGGGCCGACCCTGTTTCGGGAAGGGTCTTTCACCCCCGTCGTGGGTCGGCCCAGGCGCCGCCCTGGCCTCGCGGCCAGTGCGACCCCTCCCCGACCGGCACCTCAGAGGGCAAAAGGGGAGGGGCGGCGCAGCGGGCGGCGAGGTGCAAGGGGGGGGCAGAGTTCGCTCCTCCCCCTCCCCGGCCGCTCGCGGCACGGGGACGGACAGCAGCCAGGAGGCCGCGCGAGCGGTCGAAAGAGGAAAAGAAAAAGGAGGGGAACGAGGCACCAGCATTGGGCAGCCAGATGGCTTGGGGGAAGACCGCCGCCACAGACGCACAGAGCTGCGCGGCTGCACTGGGCCCCTGGGCGCGGCAGCCTCGCCCAGCCCTTAAAAGAACAAGGGCCAATCGCAGCCAGATCCCAACCGGATCCAGCGCCACAAGCGGCGGTGAAATTGCTTAAGTGCCCCTGGGGGGCTGGGCCGCAGGCCCCCCACCAGGTCGGGAAGGAATTTCGAACGGGCGCGAGCCTATCGAGTCGTGCAAGGCGCGCGCCACGTAGAGAACGTGGCGCCACCTCTCTTCAGGCGGCGGCCCCTCGCGGAAGAGCTGGTACATGTACATGGCCGCGTGCGATAGCGGCGGGAGCAGGGCGCGAGACTCCAAATCGGCACGCTGCGCGGCCTGCCTGGGGCAGCCACGCAGCATGGGCAATGTCCACCTGCGCAGCTCCGCAAGCAGCACAGCGGTCCAGAGCGACGGGGAGACACGGCACGCCAAGGACTGGGAGGGGCCATGCCCCGGACATACGCGCAACGGACCACATGCGAAAGTCGCGCCACATATGTGGCCCAAAATCCAATTGAAGTAGGGCCATTGGTAGCTGGTTGGGCTCGGGGACGAGCACGGCAAAGGACATCCCGAGCGTGGGCAAACAGGCGCCGGTCGCGCGTTGGAACGCGGCCCGATCGCGCGCCTGCAGGGCCGGGCGAACCACCTGGAGTTTGAAGTCACGCAGCAGAGACCTACGCAACTGCAGAGAGCCCTGGGCGCCACGCAGAGGGTGGCGGAAAGCTGGGTGGACATCGATGTCCAGGACAGGTGGCGCGAGCTCTGCCATGCGGGCGGCGACGGCGCTCGCCCAGGAGGCGCGCGTGAGGCGGCGCGCCAGCGCGAGCATGCGGGCGCCGGGGTGGTCGGGAGGCTGCGCCAAAAGACGGGCGCGCGCCATGATTGCTCGCTCGAGCATCCGCGTGCCCAACCGGCCAAGTCCAGCCGCATTGCGCAACGACCACCTCGCCTGGCAGAGGGGGGCCAGTGGTGCACGCCAGGAGCCTCCTAGCCCACGCGGCCTGCATGCGATTCAACTCATACTCAGCCCGATGGGCCAAGAGCAGAAAAGGAGAAGGGTATAAGATAGCGCTCTCGACCCGGAGAGGGACCTGCGCAGAAAGGGCGGGGGGGCCGAATCCGCCGCTCTCCCCAGCGTGGAAAAGCGCTTCAAACAACGCGTGGCCGCGGGCCAAAACAGAGCGGAGGAGGGGTTGAAAGGTGAGTTCGGCGTCAACGAGAACGCCAAGCACCAGCTTCTGATCCACGACGGGGCAGCCCACCCACCCGGGGTCGGGGCTACCAGCAACGGCCATGGCCGCTGTTTTACCATAGGCGTAATTAAAGTCGGCACGGACAGCGCGGGCAAACCGGCTACACGCAGAATCTGGCTCGGCAGATGCAACGGCGCGGAGGGCGCCTGGGGACGGGCAAGGGGCAGTCAGATCGTCAGAGAACTGCAGTGGCTGCAAGTTCTCCGCACCCAGCGCGTCCTGGGCTGCGGCACGATCGGCTTCAGTGGCCCCTCCGCGCGCCCACTCGGCCAGTTCCGCCGCGGCCCGAGCCCGCGGCGCGCCCTCGCCCAGTGCCGTTGCGGAGACGCTAGTCGCGATCGCCGCGGCCGCGTTGACGGAGGGGGGTGGAAGGGGGCGGAGTGGAAAGGGAGGGGGAGGGTCCACGCCAACTGGACAAGCGCGCCGGTAGACCGGCGGAACCCAGGTTGCACAACCCTGCGGCAGGACAGCCATTACAGCATCAGCTAGCCACTTCACCTCGGCATTAAACACATGCGCCGAAAAACGCTTACCTTGGGCGGTGCCGCAGGGCAGCCGAAAAAACTCGGACGCCAGCCCTTGGAGGGCTACAAACTGGATGTCCATCTGGATGAAATCATCCAACAAGAGCCACTCGTCCTCCACCACGCCAGCAAGATACGACGACAGGCGCATGGCATCATGCGAGGCCCAGCGAAGGTCAGTAAGCGCCCAGTACGTGGGGGGCCCTTGAGCGCCGCGGAGCTGCGCGTGGAGCAGCAGCGCTAGCAACACAAGCAAGGGGTCCCCGACCCCGCCCTGCTGGCCAGCGCCGCAATATTGCGTGAGCGCAGAGCGGTTGCGCTGTGTCCAGAGGGCGTCCACAACCGCAGACATGACAGTGGAGATCGAGATGGGCCGGAGGCACGCGACATCACGCACCACGCGGGGGCCCGACTTGTGAAGCGGTGTAAATTGCCTCGCGGACCAGCATGTGCTGGTGAGACCACAGGACCTAGAGAGGTTCGCCAACGCTAGCGTGAGGCGTCGGCCCTGCACGCATGGTGACTTAACGGAGGCGTAACAGCCACGTAGCGCGCTGGATGCCCCTTTAAATGTTTCTAAAACGTCTGCAAGCTCAGCCATGGAGTAAAGGCGCCGGCGCCTGGTGGAGAGAGACCGGCTCCAGCACGAGCCGCGCCGCTCTGGCGAACGGCGGACGCCGCCCGTGCGGTGGCGAGGCATGCCTCACGGTCATGTGGAAAGTTGTTGGAGGCCCTCGCCTGCAGATCCTGCTCGATGGCTTGGAGCATCTCGTCGGCGCTGAAAACCCGTCCCGTGGCAGGGTCGGCGAGTGCGATCTCAAACCTGTCTTGGCCAGCGAAGAAAGAGGACAGGAAGCGCTCCGCTGCCCCAGGGCTCAAAGCCCGAAGGTGGAGAAAACGTTGGGCCGCGCCCCTCCTAGCATCCCAGGCTGCCTGCGTGGCCGCTTTCTTGAAGGCCTGGTGATCAGAGAAATCCGCCGGGGCTGGCCCAACGGGCCGGCGTCGCTTGCGAGACGCCGCCGACGTCACCGCACGGGTGACCCCCGCAGCGTGGCCCGCAAGAGTGTATAGCACGTCACGTGACCACGCGGCCACGTCCAGGAGCACGCGGCGCTGGGCGACAGAGGCCTGGCCTCCGCTCCACGGAGGGCGGAGCCACGGCGCATGCACGCACAGCTCAACCGCAGACGCTGCAAATTGGAGAAGCGGTTCCACCGCGCTAAGGGCGTCATCCCATTGGGAATCAGTGCGCCGGCTGACTCGGCCAAAACCGACGTGCGCGGAGCGGTCACACTGGCGCGGCATTGACCAGCACAGCAGGCGTTGGTCAGAGGCCACGGCCACGGCCTCCTTGACAGCAACGGAGATCTGTTGGCCCAAGTCCGCGAGGACAAGGTCAATGCACGTGCCAGAATCGTGCGCGGGCACCGGCGGGTTGCACGCGATGAGCGAGGCAGCGCACAGCATAGCCTCGATATCGCGATCTTCCGGGGATTGGTGACAATGGCAGCAGCCGCACCCCGGGCGGTGCGAAAGGACGTGGGACAGATGGATATTTGCATCCCCAGCGACGAGGAACGAGGCATGCGGAAAGCGCGAGCGCAATCGAGTGAGCTCACCAAGGATCGCGCTCCAGGTTTCCACGTCGCCGCCTGGCGCTGGGTAAACTGCGGCAAAGACAAGAGACGGCCCCGACGCGGCAGTAGTGCCGCTCGACGAGGTCCAAACTTCAAACCACTGGACCCGCGCAGACGAGACGTCAAGCAGCGGGCGGACTACCGGAAGCAGTTCGGGTCGCAAGAAGATCCCGACAGCGCCCCACGAAGCAGAGCGTTCGCCCAGCCAACAGTACGGGTACCCTGCCGGCAGCGCCGCACCCGGCGGGAATCGCGCACCGGGGGTGGTGCAAATATCGATATTCTCATCGTGCAGAAGCTGCGCCATGGCCTGCAACCGCCAATCTAAGGGCGCGTCTGTGCCGAGGGCGAGCAAGCCACACCAGCCCGGGTTTAAAACGGCCATGCGCAAGGGCTGCTGGCTTGACAACTCCAACGGCGGGCCCACAGCTCCGGCGGCGTCGGCAGCCAGCGCTGGGCCCGCGAACGGCGAGATCACGAGCGGTGGGTCCCCGCGCGCAGGACGTAATGGGGGGGCGACCTCTTCGGCGAGGAAAGCTCGTAGCTGCCGGCCAAGAGCGATCAGGGGCCCAGCCTCGCGACTCCCCTGCGTGCGAAGCTGCGGTGGCGGCTCGGGGGCGCAAGCAAGCAAGGCGAGCGCGTCGCGAAACGCCGCTCCCTCTCCAGGCCCCTGGTTTCGACGCCGATCGAGCGGTTCACTAAGTCACGTAGCGGTGTCAGGGGGGCGTCGCCGCCCCCGGCGAACATGCCTCCGCCCCTGCGCGGGCGGCCTCCGGCGGGGCTATGCACGGCGAGGCCGGGGAGCCCTGGCAACGGCTGCGGGAGGGGCGGCGCGGCCGGCGGGAGGGGGGGAGGAAAGGAAGGGGACGAACGGCGCGGAGCGGGGGGGGGCCGGCCAAGGGGGGCAGACGGCGGACGACACCGCGGAGCGGACGGATCATCATCGTGAGCAACGGGAAGCCTTCGGGGGCCGCTGGAGGGGAGGGGCGAGGGACAAGCCTTACGACCAGTACCCATCAAGGGGCGACGCGGCCCAGCCCGACAAGCAACAACGATGAGCACGATCGGCGCCACTATGCATCCGCAGCTTTTTTCTCTCGACACCACTCGTTGCAACCAATGGGGTTCATAGGGAATCTGGGGCCAGACCGCCACACCGCTTTGGGTGCCAGCCGCAGTGGGCGGCGGCTGAGCTGAGAAATGCGAAGCGAGGAAAGCTCAGGACAACTGGAAAGAGGCACACGCCCCCGCGGGGGGCGAGCCCGCGCCCGCTTGGAAGCTATCGCAGGTGCAGGAGCGCATCTGGCGCAGCGGTGCGCGGGCGCACCCGGCTCCGGGGCCGGCGAGGGCACCGCGCTAGGTGCCAGCGCCCGACGGGGGCCGGCGAAGCAACTCGCGTGCACTGAGGCGCTGCACTGGCGCCGAAAGAAGCCCCTGCGCCGAGGCCTTCGGCTCGGGGCCCTCGATGTCCGTGACGAGGCCGAAGAAAAGCAGGAGCTCCTCAATATGCTCTTCAAAGAGAGGGCGGGTGGCGTGCATGACAATTCGACCCTGCTTCTTATTCTGCAGCTGGATGGGCAAAACCTGCTTGGGCAAATTAGAACACGTGATATCTAAGCCAGGCTGTGAAAAGTCACCGGTCCCAAGGGCGAAGGGGGGCGCTGCGGTCACCTGTTTCCCCGCTCCGCCGCGGCGCATGCCGGCCAAAATCGCCACCCCCATCGCCGTGGCAGCATTGTGGAGGTCAACCTCCGAGTGGCAGCGGGAGGCGAAATAGACCGCGATCTTCGCGCGGCCGCCCCCGGGCTTTGGCCCGAAGGACTCGCGGACTTTGCGCAGCCAGCCGGGAACAGCCTCGCGGAGCTCAGCCTCGCTCCCGAGGGCGGCAAACTGGCGCGGGTCAGGCGCCGCCGCGGCCGAGCCAACGGGGTCAAGCAGCGGCAGCGCACTGGGGGGCCCGGGGGGGCCCGCCGCATGGGGCGAGGGAGCTGCGCAAGACAATTGCGGCACGTGCTGTGGCGCGGCAATAGGCACCGAGAGCAGCGGCGACAAGGCGGGCGGAAGCGCGCGCGGGGGCGACGCCAGCGGCGCGGGCTGGGTTGGCGGAAGGGTCCCGCGGACGCCCCGCACTACTGTAGCCGCAGCCGCGCATGCGCGGACGCGCTCCTCCTCGCGCGCTCGGACGCGCTCCTGAAGCCGCGCGGCGCACGCCGCGTACTGGACAAGTTCAGGAGGCTGGTCTGGGCGCACGACGCCGGAAGCGCGGTGTAACCACGCTTTCCCACCCCCCGCGCCGACCAGCACTTCCCAGCCCGCGCGGGCAACTTGGAGCTGCTCGAGCTCTTGGCACAAAGCTGCCAGCTCACTGGCGTAGTCCTTCAGGGCGCTCGAAGCGGGCTGCGGAGAGGAACTGGGCGGGAGCGCCTTGACCAAGGGCGCGGTCGGCCCACCTGCGGCGCCCGCCACGGCTGGGGCGTGCCCACCTGCGGCGCCCCCGACAGCCGCGGGGGCGCCGGGCGCGGACAACGGGGCTGCCATGGGCACGAGCGCCGTGCCCGGATGATCCCACTGAGTGCGACCTGAGCTGCGATGCTGAAAATACAAGGCGCCGCTGCCCGAGTCACGCCAGGACTCCCACCCCGGCGGAAGGGGCGGCGGGCTCAGAAGCGGCGGGCCCGGCGACGCGGGCAGCGGGCGAGCCGGGGGCGAGGCCGCTGCGGCCTTCGGGGTGGCTGGCGACGCCGCCCCTGTGAAGGCGGCGTCGGCCGCGCTCGCTTTCGGCGGCAGAGGCGGCGGCGGCGGCGGGGGCGGCGGGGACTCTGGCCCAGCGCCGATCCACCTCGTTGGCGGGCTGCGCGGCGGGCTCAGCTCAGGGGGCCCCGCCGCAGCCGGGGGCAAAACCGCGCGGCCCTTCGCCGCCGCGCCCGGGAAGATGCCCCAGTCGCCGGGGGGCGGCCCGGCCGGGAATGGGCACGGGGTGGCGGGCTGCGACGGAATCCTGCAGGGCGCTGAGCGCAGCGCTGAGGTCGACCTCCGAGCCGCGTGGCGGATGGTGGCTGTCTGCTACGGGCGTTGGGCTGCATTCGCGGTCACGGTCATGGTCACAGTCCCGACCCTGGTCATGGTCCCAATCGCGGCGGCTGCGATCGCGATCACGGTCGCGGTCCCTGGCCCTGTCCCGGTCGCGGTCGCGACCGCGGGAGCGGTCGCGGTCTCTGTTCCGGTCGCCATCGCGGTCGCGGCCCCGGTTGCGGGCTCGCTCCGAGGACGGCGTGGCCGCGGCGCTGGTTCCCTGAGCGGGCACGGGGGGCCCTCGGAGATCAGGTGTTACCGCGGCCCGTTGGTTGTTGCTGCGGCCTGGTGGGTGTTAGTATGGCCAGGGGTCCTCTGGAGTGTATTAATCATCGAGTACGGTGAAAGGGGGGGGGCAGGTCCAAAAAGGCTCCGCCCTCCCCCCCCCTTCACCGAAGAGCCTCTCGGAAGAGCTTCCGGTGCTCTCCGAAAAGCCTCTTGGGGCCGCCGAAGTCCTTCTGGCAGCCGCCTAAGAGCCTCTTGGGCTCTCCGAAGAGCCCCGTGGGGCCTCCGAAGAACCTCTTGGGGCATCCGAAACGCTTCTTGGGCTCTCGGAAGAGCCTCCTGGGCTCTCCGAACTACGACTGCTACTATACTACTACTACTACTACTACTACTACTACTACTACTACTACTACTACTACTACTACTACTACTACTACTACTACTACTACTACTACTACTACTACTACTACTACTACTACTACGACTACTACTACTACTACTACTACTACTACTACTACTACTACTACTACTACTACTACTGCTACTACTACTACTACTACTACTACTACTACTACTACTACTACTACTACTACTACTACTACTACTACTACTACTACTACTACTACTACTACTACTACTACTACTACTACTACTACTACTACTACTACTACTACTACTACTACTACTACTACTACTACTACTACTACTACTACTACTACTACTACTACTACTACTACTACTACTACTACTACTACTACTACTACTACTACTACTACTACTACTCGTCGTCGTCCCTAGCGGCCTAGGGCTAACACTCTCTAGCGCCAGTACTTCCTAGGGTTAGCACTCCCTAGCGCCACTTCTTCCTAGCACTCCCTCGGACTAGCACTCCCTAGGACTAGTATTCCCTAGAGCTGGTACTCCGTAGTGCGAGTACTCCCTAGGACGAATACTCCCTTGGACGAATACGCCCTTGGGGTAGTAATTCCTAGGACTGGCACTCCCTGGGGCTAGCACTCCCTGCGGCTAGTACTCCGTAGGACTAGCACTCCCTATGAATGATAGTGCCTCACACCAACACTACAGCACCATAGTACTACCACACTACAGCACTACTACCACAATACCAATACCACAACACCACAACACCGCTACCACAACACCACAACACCGCTACCACAATACCACAACCACAACACCACAACAGCGCTACCACAACACCACTACCACAGCACCACTGTCACTACCACAACACTACTACCTACTAACAATTCAACCTTGCCAACACCACACCACTAAAACAACACTACCAACACCGCACCACTAACACAGCACACCACTACCAACACCCCACCACTAACACAGCATACAGCACAATCCGCCACTACCAACACCACACCACTAACACAACATTACCAACACCACACCACACCACTAACACAGTACAGCGACCACCACACTACTAACACAGCACTACTACCACGTTGGTTCCAGATGGGAGTTACTGTGGCCACTTTTGCCTGCGCGGGAGTGCATTCCCTTAAGGGTTGCGAATCTCTCCAGATCTAACATGAGATACCTTTACATATTACTTTTCATTGAGCGGCCTGCGCGGGCCACAGTAACTCCCATCCCGCCGCGCGACAGGCCGCGCTAACACCCAACGGGCCACACTAACACCCAACGGGCCGCAGTAACAACCGGTCGCGGGGCCCTCGGTCCGCGCAGTGAGCCTTAGAGCCAAAGCGCGTGTACATGCGGAGGCATCAGCAGGGGCAGGGAACAAGGACTTCCTCCCCGTGCGCGCCCAGCATGGGCGGCCGGACAACAAGTGCGAGGGCGGGGGGGGGGGGAGAGGGCAACGCATGCTAGGGTAACTTGCACTCCCGCTCACGCTCTCCACGAAACCCAAAAAGGGGCCGCTAGATATCATTATGAGGCACAACACCCGCGAACACCCGACAAACCCAAGGCAGTCCCTCGCACGCGGCACGGCACGGCACGGCAACAGCACAGCGAGACACGACACAACCAGAAATCGACCGCACAAGCACCATGTACAGAAGCGGGAGAGCCAAGTGTGGGCAAATTCATTTGGATCACCTGGGGGGCGGGGCCGCCGGCCCCCCACCAGGTCTAAAAGAAAAGCAGGCCCCAGGAACAGGCGGGGCAGGGGGGGCGGGGGCCCCGGGGCCGCCCGCCGGAGACGGGGCCGGGGAGGGGGGCGGCGGCAGGAACGCACAGCGCACGGATTACAAGCTCCATTGACACGACGATGGCAAGGGGTTAAGAGTAACACTTCAGAAATAGGCGTGAACTGAGAACAATTGCATCGACCGCACAAGCATCATGCACAGAAGCGAGAAAGTCAAATGTGGACAATTTCATTTGGATCACTTGGGGGGCGGGGCCGCCGGCCCCCCACCAGGTCTAAAGGAAAAGCGGGTCCCAGGACCAGGCGGGGCGGGGGGAGCGGGGGCCCCGGGGCCGCCCGCCGGAGACAGGAGGAGGACAGGAGAAGGGAAGGGTGCTTTCGCTCACCCGCCGGCCTCGCCAAACATCCTAAGCCGGTCACGTCTTATCTCCCCCTTTCCGGCGGCAAATGATACAACAACAGGCAAGTAGACAAGAAGGGATGAAATGCAGCCAAGCTGTGCATCACTCCATGCTCCCGTGTAACATTGGCGACCATACCAGCAGATGACGTAGATGTCCCGCGGAGGTTCAATGGGTGAAAGGCCAAGTAGCCGGCGCAAGGCTTTTCGGCCCTCGCGAAACATGTCAGACATGCACTCTGGCAATGCCTCCCAATGGTTCTCGTGGTGCCCGCCACCCGATCTGATGCGTACAAGGAACGGAATGCCTTCGGGAGGGAAGTAGCGGAGAGCCACCTTGCGAAATTTCGGCCGCTCGGCCAGGAGAAAGCGCTCAAGGTCTCGGGTCGAAAACCCGTCAGGCGTAAATCCAAGCACTTCACTGGATAAGAGCCTCACGATGAAATCAGAGCCATTGCCCAGGGCAACAGCATCATCTATACCAGAGATACTTAATTTCGCCAAGTTGCTTGAACGACAGCCCGACAATAGTAGGAGGGCGTGAGACACGGTGAAGCGCCCACACCCGTCGACACCGCACATGTCAGCAATCAGCTCGGTCTTCGTGCGACCCCGAAGGGCAATGTCCGCGGGCGTATAACCCGGCGTCACTCCCCCAGCCTCCTGCACAGCTTGATATTGGAAGTCTGTCGAAAAAACCGGAAACTGAGCGTTACGAAGCTTGTGTGACAAATCGACCCTGCGGATCCCTGGGTTCATATCTGATGCTACCACCCATTCAAACGAGTGCATGGCGAAGAAGACTGCCCGCGCTGCTTTGCGATATGGGGGCCTGGACTCAAGCAACTCTTGGCGAAAGGTAAAATTGCCAGGGCGAGCCAACTCCTCACGAGGCAAGTTAAAGCACAGAGCTGCCCGCTCCCCGCTCGAGAAACTGATGGCACGTCATGCCAGTTGATGGGGGGCCATGCCCAGAAAGCCCAATCCCTCCCCAAGTAATCTCGTCATGAGCCCGCTCTGCCGGAATGCGAAGTGTCGCACGGGCCGCGTATAAGCGTAACAGGAAAAGGCGGAACTTCGCGCCATTCGTCACGCGAAGGGCAAACTGCTCTAGGGTGCGTGGCCGGGCGGGGCCCTGCGAGCGGGAGCGAGAACGCTCGCGCGCCATGCCGCCTCGCGCCGGCGCGGGATGGGCCCTGGGCCAAAACACGACGGAAGTGCACTGACATAGAAGAGGCCCGATTGTCCATGAACTCGCACACCGGCTGTCTCGAACGCTGCTGGCAAACCCCAAAATACCTTAAGTGCAGACGGGGGAACGGCCCCTCCACCCCAGAGGCGACCAAGAAGAAGTCTGGGTCAGATGCTGGTTCCTTTCTACCAGGTCTGCTTAGCCCGGGGACGCAGAGGGAGAAGGGGGGGAGACGGAGCGCAAGAAGGGAAAGAGGGGGGAGGGAGGGGGGGGCGACAGGAGAAGCGAGGTTTGTTGGGTGAAACTCCAGACGACGCTGCCCGCTGGCGGCCACGGGCGCCAGCGGACAGCCCCCCCTGCAGCAGACCCGGCAAGGCCATCGCATGCTCCCACATGCCCCTAACATTAAGAGATAGCAAACAAGCAGTGCCAAAAACTAGCACGAGCGTGTCACGACAAGCGCTGGCACACTCGCAACAAGAGCACTCGATTGCCCATCAGCGGAACATGCCCACATCAAGAATTGCACGACCCTGTAGAAAACCGCGTGCATGATCACTAAGCATTGCTGTGCGCAGGGGGGAGGACATGTAGCGCAAGGGGTACTGGTGGGCCCCAGGCGGCCCCTGGGCCCCCTTCATGTCAATGCGGGCAAGACGCGAGCACGCACACGCGCACGCACACACACACACACACACACAACACACACCAAGGCCGCTTGCGCTGCGACGGTCACGCCGGGCCGCGACAAGGACACGCACGCGGCGCATTATAGCAGCAACGCACGCACGCGCATAACAACGCAACCCATCAAAACTGCCTCCCGCCCACCAGGCTCTCACTCCACCAGACAACGCTGCCCGACCCGTTCCGCCTCGCTTCCCCTGCTCGCCCCAAGATAAATATGACCGCAACAAAACCAAGAGCGAAGAAGGGAAACAGCCAAGGAAGCGC